AGCTGAAGGATTTTTGGAAATCCTTCCTTGCGGGGTGGGTCCTTCAGGGCCCACCGCCTGGCTGAAGTATTTTTGGAGTGATTCAACAAGGCCCCACCGATTGAGCCTGAAGTAATTAGGATGCACTTGTCCAGAGGTTTTATCGGTGAAGGCGTTTGAACAACAAACACCGAAGGCGTGCTGACAGCTAGTTTGCAATGGGTTCGCACAACATATGCATGATCACATGCTCGAAGCAGGCAGCATATCTATTTGTCCGTCTGTCTGTCTGTCTCTGTCTGTCTTACACATGACTGAATGATGAATGAGTGGGTGAGTGAGTGAGCGCCTCGGTTAGTGTGTCAGTGCATCAATACTGATCAAATGACAAATGAATGAATGGACGAATGAATTATGGATGAAATGGACCGGCTGAATGGAACGGACGGAAAAACGAATGAACGAGGAATGAAGGAATGACTGAATGAATGAAGGAATTCATGAATTGCAAAACACACTTGCATGTGTTTGCGTCTGCGCGTGCATGTATGTATTTTGCTGCGTTCTGTGCCACGTATACAGATAGATAGATGATAGACAGCCAGCCAGCCAGTCAGCGAGCCAGCCAGCGAGCGAGCGAGCTAGCTAACTTGATGAAAGGGCTTGTGCCCGTCCGAAGTGTTAGCGATGCCTGTCGCTCCAAATTTGCACGACCCTGGCAAAGCCTTGGCAAACGCCGTCGATCTGCAGCTCCGCCTCTGGGTCGGGTTGCCCTCCTGCCTGAGCTGGGACGGGAACTGAACCCCTCTCAACGCACTCTTCCGAAGGTATGTACATATAGTCTTAGTCTTAGCGCGGCTCAGGCTTTGTGCTCTGCTTCAGCCGACGCAGACACGTTTCTACTGGCCCGGAAAAGCTTGGCGGCCCCGCAAAGGAAATCTTGTAGAGCTCCACATGCCAGGCTATGAACTGGGAATCCTCGGGGCAGGGACAAAAAAGAGCAAAATTGCTTGGAGGACCTTTGCGAAGACAATGCGGACTTTCAATTATCGCGGGCGCACCTGCTGCAACCCGGCCGTCCAATTTAGGTCCAACCTTCCAGCTGTTTACTCGTGCAGTCGGGCGGCCCTACAACATGCAAGAAAAGCACGGGCTACATCTACGATCTTCCAAGTTGAGCAGTCCAGGCTTGATTTCGCTGCAGTAACTGACATGGCTGACAGCATGGGGACTGCGACAAAGCCGACGACATGGGGAGAAACAGGCGTGAAAGCGCGCGTCTCAGCGTCGGCATAGGAGGACATGATAGGACGCAGTGCTCCTGTTGCAAGCATCTGGAGGCCTTCAATATGCTAGGCTACAGTGTTGTAAGATTAGACTAGGAAGCTGATGGAGACTGGGCCCATGGCTGGCCGTCGTTCGGCGACTCCAGAGCCTGGGTGAAAACAGCCAGATGTTGCTCTGTGGCTCTGCGGCTCTGAGTGCTCTTAGCACTCAGTGCGGGGCCAGATTCGATGGAATCGTCGCAGCTTGCAGGCAGGTCGGTCCAATGGCGACCTTCAAGCTGTAGGTCGGACTAATAAAGGGGCGTTGTGGGACATATCATACATATTATACTATACTTAGAATAAGGAACCCCAAATAAGAGTGTTTGTGCCTCCCTCAACGTCGGGTTCACACCTCGCGGGGTGAGGGTACTGTCGCGACCCAGGTGCGAGCGTGCTTCCAGAGATTGGGCGGCTCCATTCCGATGTTGACTCCTCATTCCAACAGAGCTGCCGCACCTGCCGCGGCAGAGAGCAGCAAGAAAAAAAGGGCACTGCTTTGGTAGCGCGGCTCTGGCCTGGATGATGTGGGCCGACTGGCAGGGCAGATTCAGGATGGTGCCTGAGGGCTGGCGGGCGATCTCTGCCTTTATAGGTGCCTTGAAACCAGAGGACGATGTTACCCCGTGCATCACAGTCACAAGAGGGACTCTCGAAGGAAGACAATGCTGCACATGCCGGAGGGTCCTTGCGGGCACCACTGAGCAGCTTGCACGAGACAGCCGAAAGCCTAGTCAGAAAGAAGCCTTCGTCCATCCACCGTTCGGATCGCGCATCTCGACTTGCCATGCCCGGAACGTGCAGTTGCCCTGACAGGACTGCTGCTCACAACACTGCTCGCAACTAGTGCAGTAGCACACTCGGCTTGACCTCCCACCCGTAGCCTCTCCAAAGCTTGTAGCCTTCAGTTACCATGCCATCCTACACTAGATCATACTATGCCATACCTTAATATATTATACTTCACTATATACGTGGTTAATCACTATTTTCCTGTAGCCTATAGTACAGTAATGAGCAGCCGTAGTGGTGCCTGCTCGCTCGAGGCATTCCAGGCCAGCTGAAGCGAGGAATCCGTAGGCTCCACCACCGTCAAGTCCTTTGAAAGCATCGCGAAGCTCCGTGCTCAGTGCGGGCTGCCCCCTACTACAATATACTAACACAGATACGCACATATCACATACACTATGCCACTATGCATAAATAAATGAATATATATGTGTGTATATATATATATCATGTCACATCATATCATATCATGTGTATTTGGGGTCCGCCCGTGGGTCCTCGGGCATGCCAGCTCTGAGGTTCGGTACGCTGACGACGCTCGTGAAGACATCGTAGATCACCAGCTCCGGAATCGTCGATGCCAGCTGGACTCCTGTACGGCAGAGCCGTGAATTCCGGATCAAGGCTTCATCCTCTGCCTCCTATGCTTTGCAGAAAGCTTCCACACGTTTGACTGCTTCATGCAAAGCCACGAACATCGTACATCGCGCCGGGTTCAAGACCTCGGCGGGAGGGCATGATGGACTATGATGAACTACCTCTGCATGCATTCTGCCTGGGTTGCTTATGCAATTAATAGCGGTTGCAAGGCCTATTCGATTAGGCCCGGGTAGGGCCGTAGGCCCCCGCGGTACGTACGTTGACCGTCGCTACACCGCCAGGATCCGCATAAGAAGCCAATGCTTCTCCAAACCCTACGAATCACTTCGAACCTTCAGCCAGGGCACACCAAACCTCACAGGAGGTCGTGGCAATGTCAGCGCAGTGATTCACAAAGAACCACTCGCCCCCTGATTGGAAGATCAGATGCCATCATGGAGCCACTTTACGAAAGCTGAGTATGGTCCTTCTTCCTGCTTCCGCATGTCCACACGCCACTCCCAACCATTGCCATCGTCCACCAGGTCAATGGACAAATCGCCACCTCGGAGACCGCATGCCAGGACGCGCATCGCGCTCCGGAGTCTGGAACAGCCCAGCGGCCATCCCACTCAAGCAGCACGCCGCCGCCGGAAGGGTTCCAAGGGCCACCTGACCAATCGAGACTCTCGCAGCAGGCACAAATATATCAGAAAAGTAAGGTTGCATGTCAGGCCGCACATCAGTGTTGTGAAGTAGGTCGTCGTGGTGGTGAACGTCGTCGTGGTAGATGTTGTGTAGGACGTCTTAGTGCGCGATGTCGAGATCCTTGGGCTCTGCTCTCTCGGATCCCTGACTCGGAATTAGAATTGTGACACTGAAACCTGTATGCGCTCTCACCACCCCTTCGTGCAACCGGGAATCGTGGAGCTTGTAGAGGTGGTGGACACAGTGATCGTGGTTGTTCCAGTGGTCGTGCTTGACGAAGAGGCGGTCGTTGTTGTGGCGGTTGACGTTGCAGAGGTGCTGGTCAAGGTGGCGCTGCTTGTGGATGTTGTTGTTGCAGTTGTTGATGTTGTGGAGCTGCTGGATGTCGAGCTGACGCTTGTTGACACCTTAAGCTGCCGGGTGCACAGTTAGGCATGCTGAGCAGCACGACAATGGCAAATTGAGCTGCTTGACAGAGCGATTTTGCAACTCTTAGGCGCCGGCAGTCGAGGTTGTCACAGTGCTGCTGGAGCCTTGTGCTCTTGGCCAAGTAACTGTAGCGTCCGACCCCAAGACACAATCCCTGCATGCCACCGAACACTCCAATAGCTCCGAACATCCCTCGAACCCCTAGAGTCGCGGCTGCACGGCCGAACGATCACGACCTGGAAACTTGGTAAAGTGGCATCCGCATTAATCATTATGGGAGTTGTGGGCTTGAAAGTCAAGAGGCTTGTAACCGTCCTGGAGGTTCCAGTCCTGGGCGACATGCAAGTGAGCCTTCTTTTGCTGTTGCTGCCTTCTTGGGGCAGGTTGGGTTCTTGAGTCTGTGAGCGATCTTGTCGAAATTTTGTGGCACACCCAGGAGACAGGACCTAGTTTTCTCACTCGAAGCTCTGCGACATCCAAGTGTCAGCGTCCGTGTGAGTGTCGTCCTTGTGGAAGATGTCGATGTCCTGGACAGCCGTGCCCTGCCCTTTCTTATCCCGCAATCTCCTAGGCAGTGCTTGCCTGGAGGTTGAGGTGAGGCTTGTGGACGTGGTCGTGGATGAAGAGGAGCTGGAGGACGTCAGCGATGTTGAGGTCGCTGTCATGCTTGTGGAGCTGGTGCGGGTGGTGCTCGTGGTAGCCGTTGTGGTGCTGGAAATTGACGTCGTGGATGTTGTGGACGTCAGAGTCTGGGTGGTGGAAATTGATGTGGTGGAGGTAGATGTGGCGGTCGTGGTAGACTCTGTCACGCTGCTCGAAGTCGTTGATGTTGAGGACTCGGGGTTCATAGTGTCACAGCATATGCTGCAGGTGCCCGCTACACAGAGGTTGAAGATTCAAGCAAGAAAAGCTAGAGGCAAATCCGTATGAATGTCACATGCAGCTCTGCCACTGTGCTCGTGGTGGTCTGCGTCGCGCTTGACGTCGTAGTTGTGGATGTCGAGGTCCGTGACGTCGTAGTGGCTGTGCTCGAGGTACGCGTCGTTGTGACAGTCCTCAGCCAGGCTAGATATCACTGTGCGTGTCTTTACCATGGCAGTGTGCAGGTGTCCAAAGCAGGGGTTAGTAAGGAGTCCATCGAAATCACTGGTAGCCAGCAGCATGTCACTCGAAACAGCCCTTTCCAGCTACCAGTAAGCTGCGTCACTGCTCCGATCTGCTGTTGTCAGGTGGTGCGGTTTCCATGGCCGCTGCTCTCTGCTTAAGCTGAGCCTGGACTTCAGAGCTGATTGCAAAGCTGACCTGTGCCGAGTTTCGTTGATGTCGTGATGGAGGACGAAGAAGAACTGGAGCTTGTAGTCGAGGTATGGGTGGTGCTGATTGACGTTGTGGAGGTTCCCGTCGTGGACGAAGCGGTCGTTGAGACTGATGTCGATGAAGAGCCGGTTGAGGACGTGGTGCTGGTGATGGATGTGGAAGAAGACGTGCTGCTGCTAGTCAACGTGGAAGAAGAAGTCACGGTGACAGTCGACTGCGGTCGTGAGAACAGACGCACGGAGTTTAAAGTCGTCGTTGAAACCAACAAAGATTCAAGGAATCCACGATTCCAAGACAACCAACATATCATTGTGTACATATGTGTACTCATGACCGTAAATTAGCTCAGTCGCGCTGGTGGTGGACATCGTAGAACTGGTGCTCAGTGTCACCGAAGTTGTCAATGTTACGGTCTGAGCGACATCCCAACTCCATGGGGAACCGGGCAAGGTCAACTGTTCAACTGCGCCACAAAGTAACTAGGAGCTGGTCCGGATAAGTCAAATTCAATCACATTCTTCATATGGTACACATCGGGTCAGACAGCCAGGTTGCTTGGTAGATACGCGTAAGTGCAAGGGAAGAGGGAACTGCGGGGTGGGGGGGACGGCCCGAAGAAACAACAGGCGAGATCTGCAGGCCAGCAGTGTCACGTTCCGAACTATCAACATCAGGTTGCTGCTGACGTACTCGTGCTCGACGTGGCAGTCACTGAGGTTGACGATTGTGTCAGCGAAAAGGTGGTGGTGCTGACCTGATTGCACACAACCGCAGGCACGAGTCAAGGTGGCGACTTCCAACACAGACAACCCCAGGCCCGTCTGGTTGAAGATCACTCAAAGCCTTCTTTGCTTTGCCGCGCGGCGGTCACCGTCGATGACGTCGCGGTTGTGGAGATCGTGGATGAGGACGTGGCAGTTGTCGATAATGTGGATGAGGCAGTCATACCTTCTGCAAGGCACCGGCCGGGCTTTCACTGGGCAAAAAGCTGCACCCCTAAAACTGGCACTGTGGAACAAGGGCGATGGGCGATGGGATGCTTGACCGGAGCACTCGTGGAGCTTCTGGTGGTGGTTGAGCCGGTTATGGATGTAGTCGTGCCTTCATACTATCATACTGCGGGAAGGAACATGCGAGAATCTTGTTGCTTTCCGCTGTGCTTCAAGAAAGCCATCTGCTGCCAAGCAGCCAGAGCTGGAAGCTGTGGTCGTGGAGGTACCGGTAGCCTCAGCTGCATGGGCCCTGCGGCTAGCTGCGGCTAGCTAAGCACTCCGAATCTGAACTAGAACTCAGTTGGCCTCCTGGTGTCTCACCCGCAGGCCACCCGCCTAGGCCTAGGCCCTCAACATGGTGCCCCAACAACCTGCTCTTCCCTGCTACTTGCCGTCTGCACGCCGTCACTGTTTTGGAGGTGCTCGACATCCTAAGTTCCATCAGGGCCAGCATCAATCAACCGTCAAAATTGTACCGATCAGCTCGGCTCAGGACCTGTTTGTCGTGCTAGGCACTGAATGGGAAGGGCTTTTCAGAAGAAAGAATCAGACGGCTAGCATCTTCGCCGGCGTCTGCCAGTGGCTACCACTTTCGCAATCGCGCACTCGCAGCCCAGATCAACAAGCTAAGGCACGATGTCGTTCTGCTGGTAGTTGTGGTCGTCCTCCCGCTAAGCTGAGATTTTGGTTGGTTTGGAAGCTTTCACTGACACGGGAAACTCATATGCTGCCGCTCTAGGAGATGAGGTGGCACGCTATGTGCAACGACAACGAGCATACTCTGGCTCGCTCACTCTCTCTTGTCTTGGTCTTGTCTTGGCCGGCGCCCTCCAATTACATCTAATGAGTGCCTTGATCGCGTGCTGCCTGTCTCTATCCTTCTCGCTGCCTCTGAGAAGCCGCATGAACACACAGACCTCCACTGTCAAGGTAATTCCCAATTCTAAGCAGGTCATAGTGCGTGAATGTCTTAAGTTCGAACAGATACCAACAGACATGTAGTATAGGTATCCAGATATGCCCAGCCTAGAGCTGGAGGTCGTTGCCAGGGTCGTGGTAGAGCTGCGAGTCTCGCTCCTGCACTCGGGGACGATGCTTTTCTAGGAGCAAAGGGAAAATCCAAAGACGACAGCTCTCCCGCAACGTCCGCTATCGTTGATTGGGTGGCTGGAGCTGGAACCCACCACAAATCAATATACACACGACTCCGTAGAAACGAACTGACATCTGGCAGTGGATACCCAGCCGTCCGCGTGGTGGAGGAGGCAGTGTGAGTGGAGGAAGTGCTGCTCGTTCTCGTCGAGGTGGACTGATGTGCCAATTCTTCGTGAAAGTTTCCGTGTGCAGATGGAAGGCGTGGGACCAGCATCGATGCAGCTGCATGCCAAGGGGCTGTTACTGTGAGGGAAGTCACCGTCTGCGTTGTAGTGAGAGGGCCGCAGGTGCCTTGGTCAAGACGGCATATTCATCTAGATTCTCGGTCAGAAGGCTCTTCCCCGAAAGGAGACGGTCTTCCCATTGAGTCGACGTCCAACTACGGTGAACACTGGCATGAGCCCCTGAGGTTTGCGAGAGGCTGCCGACATCGCCCACCACGATGCAAACCTCTCCAGTCTGGCATTCCACAACTCCTGGCAATCAGAACCGCCAATGCTGGCATTTTTCCTCGGGGTACCAGAAATATACTGTCCAAGACTGAACTTAAAAACCAAGCGTGATGTCGATTTGAAGATGCACATAGGCTTACTGCGACATGCGCAGCATGCCAGGGTTAGGCAGGTACACGCAATCTTCTACCGGACATACCTTCTCGCTAATGCTGGTTCGATTCTCACCGCCTGCTAGTTGAAATGCCCCCCACCGGACCCTGCAACGCTGCAGCTGCAATGCAAGAGCTTAGCATCTGTTCAACGATTTCGGTCGCGTAGCCACAGGTCCAAACTGCGACCATGGAGTTTAGCTAAAGAGCTGCTACCGACGAAGGTTCCATGTGGTTTCGGGCCTCACCTGTCTCGACTGTACAGCTGGAATCCTGTCCCCGCTCCTCCGCAACTGCAGGGATAAGCGCCAACGCCCACTTCGTATTGCTTTCCTTCGGTAAAAACACCTCAGCTGTTGGGCTTCGGCATCTCAGGGTATGAGCTCAGGGTGCATGAGTTCAGCGTGCCATGGTAGCCTCCACTGACTTACACTGCTTACGCACATCCAAGAGCCACGCGTCCAAGCGAAATACTCCAGCCACCAACCAGCCGCATCACAATTCCCATTAATCAAGCAATTCTGTTGGCATCGCAATTCCCATTCAGCAATCTTTGTTTTGTCATTGTGATCTAATAATTGAAGCTGCTTCTCCAAGCGGCAACTCCGCGCAACTATCTGGGGATTTTCGGTGACCAGGTTCTGTGCCAAGAGTGCGGCATCTTCTGCGCCTGCCAAGAATGGCAAGACATTGTCCCAGCGTTGCCACTGGGGCTTCTACATACTGCATCGCGCTGCGGATTTGCAGTCTCCAACAATATGTTGAATGAAGATTATAATTGCTACTTCAGCACTCTTGCAACACTAAGTAAGCATGGCATTTGTGTGCCGAGCTTCGCTGTCTATCACTGTGCAAAACGAAGTCGAAGTGTCAGGTGTCCCCCACAAACACAGACCCGGAAGCCTCCGCTGCAGGCATCAATCATGCAGTCCTGGAGCGGAAGTTCGGGCCCGAGCGTGTTCAAAACAGGGTCGACAACTCGAAGCTGTCTTTTTCCAGCGTTGGGAAGTGGCTGCGCGATGGCGCAGCCGGAAACAATGCACCACGTGCTGTATTCGGAGCCATTGATTTTCAGCACTCCGAAAGACCACAAGACAGGCCAGCTGATACTGAAAGCAGCTTCAACTTGCAGGCATCTGGCTGAACTAATGTAAGTCAACCTGCTGACCATGAGCCTTTGGAAGTGGCACGACTTCGGCCGGCACTATATTGCACACCATTTGCCGTGAGATGGCGCACCCGTCTTGGGCAGCGCAACTCACCAGTCGCCGGAAGTCTCCTGAGCTGGATGGGGCCAGGAAAGAGGAAAAAGCGGGCAGGCTGCAGCAAGCATTGAGGCACAAGCGGAGCGCGAGTGGCACCAGAAAATCCAGCAGTTGTTGAAGCACCCGTTGTCGAATTCGTTCCTGCTCTGTGGGAAAGCAGGCTTTCGATTCAGACTTCACGTCGGGCAATGCCTGGATGCATCGTAGACCAAAGCCTCTACGTCCAAGAGTTCGTTGTACCTTTTTGCACGTCGAAGAAATCCGAGATTTCTCCCTCACAAGCAGTGATGGATGCTCTGGCTTCATCTTAGACACTCTGAGAAGCTCCGACATCTACTATATTCAAATCCGTATCCATATTCAGATTTTATTATATTCATATTCATATAATATTATTTCACTACGTGGTATCTCTCGGTCGGGGCACTCTTCGACCTCCAGCTCCTTGGCTGGCACACCACTCGGAGCCTTGGTGAAGGCGCACACTTCACTTCTGGGTGCCTTCTTCAATATAACATAATATAATATACATTAAATACAATATAATAATAATAACAATAATAATAAATAAATAAATGAATAAATAAATATATATATATATATATATATATTTGTATGTATATATATATATATTTGTATGTATATGTGTGTGTATGTGTATATATATATATATAGAGACCCTCTGAGCAGGATGCAGTCCAGAAGAAATCTTCCTTCCACTCGGAGTTCAGCTCGTTCCTGGGGGCGGGATTCGGCCCAAGAGCTCATCTTTCCCGTACCAACGCCCGTATACCAGTCCCAAGGCCCCACGCCTGGACACGAGGCCCACCTGGATTCGAAGGATTTGCCTGCAATGACAAGAGATGTCAGATGACCGACATGCTCAGCTCTACTTGGTTCACAAAGCACCCGACAACTCCAGCCGCAGGAAGAGCGAACAGAAGCCCAAATGCAGCCTCGGTCAGCATGTAAGAGCATGCGAGCATCTTGGAAAGTGACAGGGGCGAACCACCCTTGCTGTTTGGTCTTCGTGGATGACAGCGCCGCCCCAAACGCGAAACCACAACCCGCAAGGAGTAAATCCTCATGTCAGGACTGTGGCCCGAGCAAACACAGCGCCTCGATTGGCCAGGCTCGAATGCCCTGCAGCCACCGGATGCTGAATTCCAGCATCGACGGCAACTTACATGGCAAGCATGGCGGAAATGCTTACAGCTCTTAGTCCTGTGCAAAACCCACTGGCGCCTTGTGCAGCAAGCTGAAGAGAAACCACGCGTCGGCCAGCAAGCCTGCCCTGCAAAGCAGAAATCCACCCTCAAGGCCATCCTGCCGCCCACATCAATGTGAAGCTGTCTAGGCCCCGACATGACGAGCATGGCCAAACCTGGACCGCAACAGTGACATAAACGCTGCTCGCACAGGAACTTGGACGGTGGAACATGTCCGACCATCCTCCACCCAATCAGGGTGCATGGCTTCACACTTCACGCGGTGGCTGGGAGCACGGCTCACCAGCATCGCAATAAAGGCACGATGGTTTCTGAGGCCTGGGCGGCGACAAGTTGCACTGTAGTGAACATGACAACAAGATGCACAGCACCCAGCCGATGACATTGTGAAGCCATCGACCTTTTGTGCAAGATCAGGATCCATGCAAAAGCGTGCCGGGCTGGACCGGCACCAAACACACGAAACGGCCAAACGCACATAGGATCCGTGTGAGACAGATCACGGGGGTTCGCGCTGCCAGGTTGCAATAATGATCGTGCCGGAGGATGGGTTTGGGATACAACCATGACCTCGGCATCATGGGATGACAGACGCAGCCTCCCAGAAAGACCAGCTCGGACTCCAGCTTGTGAGCACGTGGTGGAAGCGCCCCACCCTCTCGAACTGTGAAGGATCGTTATGCAAGGGGCTGCAGCACTGTCACCACCTGCTCCGAAGGATCCTCCGCCATCTGCCCTGGGTCTGACGAGGCACAATACCTCGCCAAAGACAAAAGAAGCACGTTGGCTCCGGACAGAAGAGCACATACCAAGGGCACGCCATGCAACAATGGGCGGTCAGCGACAGAAGGCCAAACATGCCCGCCAGTACCTCGGCTTTCGGGGCATCTTCAAATGTTTAGAGAAGTGCTGAGCCGGCCATGTGGGACTTCAGCACGAAGAGCGTGAATGCGGACGCCAAGACCTCAAAGGCACCCGGAGCACGCAGTGAGCACAGCGAAGAAGTGCCCAATCCAATCTACAGCACCCAAATACCCTCAGGCCCTCGCAGTCGACGTTGGCAGCACCTGCACAGCGAAACGAAGTCTTTCTGCACGGCCGCCATGGCCACCCACCGCATCTTGAGTCAATCTTGAGGCCACCACCACTGGGAGGGCCGGCTGCACATCCACTCCGCAATACACAAACGGCCTGATGAGGCATCCACTCTGCAAAGACAGCTTGTGGGAGTGCTCCAAGCTCCAATGGCGTTCAAGGAACAGAAGAACACCAAGACCCCTAAATTTGAGACCAAGGCCGATCAGCTTTCGTTGAAGCACTTCTTCCCGTGTGCGCCGATGGGGATGTCCCCTGTGACTATGGGAGACACAACGCACCAAGTAGGCTCCAGAACAAGAACAAGAGCAATCAGAGCCTCGTGCCGATGTTTTTTGTCCATTGCTTCCTCTACCTGCTGCAAGCACTTGGATGTCAGGAGCGTCCTGGGCAAACATGCAAAGACATCCCAAATCCGGCGATTGGGCTCCAGAATACTGCAAGACCTTCCGTAATCACAAGGCTTTGACGCTGCCGGAAGCGCTTCCGGACCCAGTTCCAGATCTTCCCCCTGAGCCACCTGACCCAGAGGAAGAAGGTGCAAGCCAGGCGCTTTCCTTCAGATACCCGTTCCCGCCCTGGTAGGCCCTTCATTCGACGTGCCCTTCGCTAAGCCTCGTCTGTTGCAGCCAGCGGTTCCGGTAACACCTGTCAAGTTTGCCTACGTTGCTTTACGAACCGGTAAGAGCTACTAACAACTCTTATGTGCAAATTACATTACATAGCTATACTTGAAAAGGCTAAGCCAGGCCTTGTCGCAGTGCTGCGGACCTCCACAAGACACAAAGCAGCTCTGCCCCTGCCAGACTGGCGAGCAAGAGAAGCACCTTGCGCGGGGATTGCGCGCGACGTTCGGCAGCCCATGGCTTCGACCAGGATGATGATTGAAGCTCTTGAAATCGCTGTGGGATTCGAGCGACCGAATGAGTCAGCACGATTATGCAAGATTCAACAGAGCAGGGAAAGCATCGTGGACTTTAGCAGACCACAAGCATGAGCATTGAATCTCATCATCGGCACTTCTGGCTGCGCCGGCACATAGTCACATCCGACTGATGCTGATGATTCCCACGGGTGCGTACGAAGCTAAGCGAAGGTGCAGAGAGATCCAAGAAAGTAAGAGTGTGATGCTAATACTAGTCTAGCGAGAATGTCCACCCAGGGCTGCTGAATCAGTGGAACCTATGGTAATTCCCTGCTGTGAGAAGACCAGCGCAGAACCTCCTAAACCGACAGTGCTTTCTTCCCTTATTCTTGTTCTGTCAAGAAAGACAAGCTGCTGCTTGAGAACGCAGTGCCGTGCCGCAAGTCCCGGTCTTGAGAAAAAGTCTGTTCAAAAAACACACCGAAAGCTTCTGGCCCGCTATCCCTGTCCTTGAGCATGTCATCCGCTTCGTCCTGCTCCGTTGTGGTCTTGGAGCCCTCCTCCTGCCACAGGAATGCGGCACTGCTGGGACTACGTGGTCGACGTCCGGCACTTCAGAAGTTCCTATAATGACTATGTTTTTTTCTAATCTATATATTTTTTCAATCTATCTGGGCGCATGTTTTGAGCTCCAACTCAGGGCCGGTCCTCGTAGCGAGGTGGGAAGACGGCGTTCTGAAGGAAGTCGTTTGCTCGGCAAAGACCTTCGGCCTGCCTTGGGCATGGCATTCGCGGGGAATTGCCATCCTACCTCCAAAGTCAACACCACGATCAGCCAAGAGTCTGCAGGGTCACGTCGCTCGCTTCACATGCTTGGATGGGAGTTGTGCCAGGGTTCTTAGTCCAAAGGCGGCAGGCAAATGCAGATGTGTCAATCGCGGAGCCTGTCAAAAAGTCTTACCGATGGCCCCGCAAGGCCCGCAAGTTGTTCTGGACATGAACGTAAAGGGCACATGGCAAGGTCAGAGAGAAGAAACGCTCTCCTGGCTGGCAAGATGTTCCACTTGGTTCCACGTGCCACCCGGAGACTGTGTTGTCAGGCTTCTGGCATACACCTCGGTCGATGTCAAAACCCGAACTTCGGCTCTTCTGGAGGCTCAACGGGTCGTCTCCCGCGCACAGCTTCCGGCTCTAAACTGTCGACCGCAACTTCCGACGCCCATGACTTCTGCGAGATCAGCAACTGCCACCAAGAAGCAGATCACATCGTACATGTTGCTCTTCGAGCACTTCTCGTTCTGGCAAAGCGAAGCTTCCGAGTGAAACCCCCTGCTGGAAGGCTCAGGCCGGTGCATTGAAGCTGGAGGGGAACTTGCAAGGGCCGCGGTCACTCTTGGCTGCCACCTGCAGCTCAACCGAATTCATCACGCCTTTCGTTCCTTTTGTTCTGACTCGTCTTCTGCCGGCGCTGTGCATGCTTACTCTGTCTAAGCAATTGTGCTCCTCGACTTGGTATTCTTCTTCTGTGCAAATCTGCACCTCCAAAGGCCCCGGCACAGGTACTGCCTCTCTCCCGGCAATACTCATTGCAACTCTTCTTCTTGTTCAAGACCTGGGATTCAAGGCTTGCGGCCTCTCGCGCATGTTGAGACTCGGCTTCTTGCGACTACTGCACAGCAACTATAACAGCTATCCCTGTCGTCAAGGCGAGACCGAGCAGCGGCGTAGACCGCACAGTTCCGGCCGTTGTCCTGCGCCCGACTGCGCCAAGCTTGAGCCGATGCAAGGATGCTCGGGAATGGCTCTGCACTGGCCCCGCCCATTGGAGCAAGAGATCGGCTCGAAACGAAAAGCCTCTCCCCAAGAAAGCGCAGAAGCAAACATGGGCAAGAAAACACTTGATGTGTGAGGTTATTCTGTGTGCATGCATGTAGGCATGCTAGAATCCAATGCCCCTGCCGTCTGCCGTGCGTCCTTGCCTGCTTCCTCCCCTTCTTGCTTCCGGAGAAAGGTTGGGAGCAGCCCGGGTCCCCATGAGCAAGCGCCGTGTCCACGGCAGTGCTGACTTTCTCTCAAAAGTCCCTCTCACTCTCTCTCTCTCTCTCTCTCCCTGTCTGTTTCTCTTGCTCCCTCTTATGTATTATTTGCTCCCCCTCACTTTCAGTGGGTGGTGGCAGGATAAGCCCTTCGCAGTCAAGGAAGGAAGAGAAAGTCAGAGAGGGAAAGACAGACACCAAAACAGAGAGAGAGAGAGAGAGA